TGAGGCCCTGGGTTCGATTCCTCAGTACCACATAAGAAAAAAGAAAAAAGGGCTGGGAAGGTGGCTCAGTGGTAGAGCAAATGCCTTGCATGCTCGAGGCCCTGGGTTCGATTCCTCAGCACCACATAAGGAAAAATAAAGCCAGAAGTGGCGCTGTGGCGTGGTACTCTAGCATGGTAGAGTGCTAGCCTTGAGCTGAAGAGCTGAGGGACAGCGCCCAGGCCCAGAGTTCAGGCCCCACGATCAGACCAAAAAAAAAAAAAAAAAGGAAAAAGAAAAAAGCCAGAAGTAGCACTGTGGCTCAAGTGGTAGAGCGCTAGCCTTGAGCTGAAGAGCTGAGGGACAGTGCCCAGGCCCAGAGTTCAGGCCCCACAACCAGACCCCCCCCCCCAAAAAAATAAAGTCAGGTAAAGAGGAGATGGGAAGGTGGCTTAGTGGTAGAATGCTTGCCTAGCGTGTATGAAGCCTTGGGTTCATACAGGTCTCACCTGTACCATGGAGAGAGTAACTGTGAACCTTCCTAGCACAGTCAATCTTGCATCTATAAGCACCACACAGTATGGAGCAGTACGCTTCTCCCCCCCCCCCCATTTTTTTTTTTCAGAGGTATTTTTAAAATTAGAAGCTATTTCCAATAGCAAATGTGGTAACATGAGAAAGTGAAAACTTGCTCAGAAATCTTGTTTGAGGAAGGAACGTGGTTTATGATCAATCTAGTGGACGTGTGGCCATGAATGAAGGGTGGATGGAGGGTAGATAGAGAGTTGCTGCAGTAGACCAGGGAAAGATTCCTGTGGCTTGATCCAGGGTAGAATGTTGAAAGATGAGGAGAGAAATGGAAAGATTTGAGATTTCTCTGAAAGTAAAGTTGACAACATTTGGATGTAGGGAATAAGAGGAAGTCACAAATCAGTAACAGCTCTTCTGCCAGGAATATCGCTGGATTTTTTTCTTTTGTACTACTGGGGTTTGAACTCAGGGCATTTTGATAGGCTGGTATTCTACCATTTGAGCCATATCTCCAGCTATGCCTTTTTTTTTTGCCAGTCCTGGGGCTTGAACTCAGGGCCTGGGCACTATCTCTGAGCTTCTTTTGCTCAAGCCTAGCACTGTATCATTTGAGCCACAACATCACTTCCAGCCTTTTCTGTTTATGTGGTACTGAGGAATCGAACCCAGGGCTTCATGCTTGCTAGGCAAGCAGTCTACCACTAAGCCACCTTCCCAGCCAAGCTTTTTTTCTTTTTCTTGAATGTTTTATTCATGGATTCTTTCTCCCCTCTAGAGTAAGAGATCAGACCCTGGACCTCTTTCTCAGCTAGCCGCACCTTTTACTACTGAGCTATATCCATGGCCTCTTGACTGATTCTTTGTTGTTGCTGTTGTTGTTGTTAAAAAAGATGTTGATGGGCTGGGAGTCCAAGCTCCAGGACTGGCAAAAAAAAGATGTTGACAATAGAGTAAATCAGTTAGGACCAGGCCCCTGTAACAGCATGTTGGCTTAGCAGGCCAAAACCAGATGCAAAGGAGACAGTGTTTCAGAAGTCCTGCCTCTGCCCTTCCTAGTTTAGATAACCTTCCTGTGACCCAGGAAAGAGGATTTGTAGAACAGACCTGATTAGGAACTAACAACCAGCAGTGTGTTGCAGGGCCTGATCATTATACTGTTACCTTCCCCAAACACCTAATTGTAATAGGAGCAACCAATTAGAGCCCCGCTTATAATGTAAGAACCCCTACACTCAGAGACATCAGGGAGAGAGCACAACAGAGACACAGATGCAGAGAGACACAGGGAGACACAATCACCTGAAGAGGAGGACACACAACTGACAACAGCCACACACTCTTAATGATGACCTAAAAGCGAGCTAGTTTGCTTCTGAATAAAGGTGTTCACATTGCTCCTCTGTTGTCCTGGACTTCACTCAATGTCTACCCCAAGCAGCAACTCATAACACTAAGCAAAACGCTAAGCCAAATGGGTTATGTTGGACTCTAACCACCAGGAGTAACAGTGGAAGATTCTGTGCCAAGATCATGGCTGATTTCTGGCAGTTAATATGTTTACATGATACCAAAAACATACATAAGAGCCAGGTACTGGTGACTCATGCCTGTAATCCTAGCTACTCGGGAGGCTGAGGTCTAAGGATTGAGGTTCAAAGCCAGCCCCAGCAAGAAAAATCTGTGAGACTCTTATCTCCAATAAACTACTCAGAAAAAGCCAGAGTGGCACTGTGGCTCAAGTGGTAGAACACTAGCCTTGAGCACGAAGAGGCTCCAAAACAGACCCCAGGCCCTGAGTTCAAGCCCCAGGATTGGCAAGCAAGCATAACAAATACCCAAAAAAAAAAAAAAATTTGAAAATACAAAAACAAAGAAAATGTGTAGAAGATATACAATGAAATTTCCCCTCCCAAGGTTCCCCATCCTAAAAGCACATTTGTGAACCTGATGTATATCATCTCAGATATGCATTCTCTGAAGCAGATATAGACAGAGGATATACCCTTTGGTTGATATAGGCAAGTGTTCTACCACTTGAGCCATACCCTGGCCCACTGTTACCTTAATAGTGAGTGAATTGTATTGTTTAGGGAATAATAACATTGGGGGAAAGACTGTGTATGGCCAGTCATTATGGATAGAATTTATCACAAAAATATTTTCTATCTGTAGTTGGTTGGGTCCATAGGTCAGTTGTAAACCAGTACAAAAGAGCTCCAAAATAGCTAGGAACATTCTGGAGAGGCTGAGATCTCATGAGACTAACTGTATTTGGACATTTAAGGAAGGTATGATGTTTTTGGTTATTGGACAGAGAGGCCTGAACACAGCCACTCTATTAGATGTTATAGTGGTAAAAACACACAAACAAACAGATAATGCCAACCATCTACCCTATCAACATTTTCATAGGGCTTTTCACTTTACAAGCATTATTCTGTATATCCAATCTCTAGCAGAGCCTCAAAATAATCCTTCAAGATACAGAGAATAGGTACTTGATTGCTAATTGCTCTTTATCAATGATCATGTCAAACCTATGAAATTGAAATGCTTATAGGGAAAATGTGGACAAATGTTAACAACTTCGTAGTTGCACTTAATATTGTTACATATTCCATAACTACTGTTATTATCACAGCCATTTATTTACTTGTTTGTTTGTTTTTGTTGGTTGTAAGGCTTGAACCCTGGGCCTGGGGGCTGTCCCTGAGCTCTTCAGTTAAGTCTAGCACTCTATCACCTTGAGCCACAGCACCACTACTGGCTTCCTGGTGGTTAATTGGAGATAAGAGTCTCATGGACTTTCCCGCCCGGTGAGCCTTTGGTGCCTGGCAGATTGTAAGCCATTTATGACAGGGTTACATTTTGAGAAATTGTGTGTACTCACATCAGAGGCTGCAGGTACTATGCAGAGCCTACAGTTCCTAGGCTACAAACCTGTACAGCAGGTTTCTGTACTATACATTGTAGGCAATGAGAGGGAACACAGTGATGGGTATTTGGGTACCTAAACATATCTCCACACAGGAAATGTACAGTAATAGTGTTAGGGAACCCCCATCACATATGTGGTCCATCGTTTGGGGATTGAACCCAATGCCTCATAAATACCCCGTATTATTGCTAAACTCTCAAAAAATTGGTCTCATTCAGCTCTCACAAGGCCTTGGTGAGATTGGTATTATACTGGGCTTTGGTGAGATTGGTATCAGACTGGATAAGGCAATGTCTGTGTTCCTATAGTTGGGAATATTCTCCACCAACCTCACAACTTCTTCCTTCAATGGTGATTGTCCTCACCCTCAAGCTGTTGCCTCTACCAATAGGATGTCCAGTCTCTGAAGGGCATCTGCAGCCAGAGGTTGGCTGATGTGGGATATGATGGCCCAGGCCCCTGTTCCAACACGGAACCCTCAGAAGGGGCTCTGTAGTTCAGAGTACCCACAGGGTCCACTGAGGCCTCCCTAGCCTGCTGAGACTCATCCTTTCCCCTTTCCTCATTCTGTCCTCTCAAGAGCAGTGCCTGGTAAATTGCCTGAAGGAGTTCAGACAATTCACCATCTCAGTGTGGCCACCAGGAAACCCAGACATAAGACAGTTAGTGCCCGAAGTCACTTGAGGTTCGGGAAGCAAATTGGAAAGTGGGAATTTGGAGAGAGATCACTTGCCGGCCAGCCAGCCACCAATGGGCATAGATGTAAGGAAGTCTGGGGCAGGCTGTTGAGATGCAGGAGATGCTATTCCCAAGGATGGCGCATTGAAAACAAGTCAAAGCAAGAAAGCCACCTTCACCTCGCCCTTTTCTCTCAAAGTGACCATGGAAACAAGGAAGGTCAATCTCTGACTTCTCCCGGCCCCTTTCCTCTGGAGAATCTCATGTGACAGGTGTCTTACGCCACGCCCTGAGGTGAAGAATGTCACACAGAACTCCACAGAGAATCTGAACAAACAGGCCTGGCTTGGTTTTCCCCATTTTCTTACCATGGGATCATCCTTCTTCATTCAGCCACACTTCTGTCAGCCTGTCCATTCGTCATGCCATCAAGCATGAAACATACAGACGTCCCAGACTTCAACTGGGAAGTACTGGGGGAGCAAGTAGCTGGGTGGCCAATAATTAACTCAGACAACCCAAGAAATCAAGGTTTGATGGTCAAGGGGCTGAAATCAAGCACCCCCGATAAATGGTTCTGATTCCTTCTGCTCGCTTGCTTGCTTGCTTGCTTGCTTGCTTGCTTGCTTCCTTCCTTCCTTCCTCCCTCCCTCCCTCCCTCCCTCCCTCCTTCCCTCCCTCCTTCCCTCTCTTTCTTTCTTTCTTTCTTTTCTTTCTTTCTGTCCTGGGGCTTGAATTCTGGGCCTGGGCACTGTCACTCAGCTCTTCAGCTCAAGGCTAGTGTTCTACCATTTGAGCCACAGAGCCATTTCTGGTTTTCTGGTGGTTAATTGGAGATAAGAGTGTCATGGACTTTCCTGCCTGGACTAGCCTTGAACTTCGATCTTCAGGTCTCAGCCTCCTGAGTAGCTAGGATGACAGGCGTGAGCCACTAGCACCCAGCTTCCTTACGCTGTTTCTGAACCTAGGCATGGACGAAAGGAAAGGCTAGGCCTGTGTGAGGAGAGTTTTCAAAATCACAGCGAATGGCTTCAGTAGTCATTCATTCCTCTAGTCCTTGCCCCCAAATCCGTGGCCATTCACATCTGTACCTGGAACCAGAGAAAGTTTTCTATGAATCTAAAAGTGCATACCATACGCTCACCTACGTAGCCCCCTGCTTCTTTATTCTGACATTTCAGGTGGAAGACTCTTGCTAACCATGACTTGGGACATCCCAGAGTGAACACCCCTAGGTCAGTGCTTGTCTCTGTCCAAATAGCGCAAGGAGCCCACAGGAACCCTTTGTGGCCATGTTCCCTCCTGTTCCCCTGAATGGTTCTGACTCTGATGTGAGTCATCCCACTAGGGACAAAGGTTTCTCCAGGTGGGTTCTCTTCCCCTGGGCCTTTGAACTTCACCCTGGACCTTCCTGTTTGGGGGAAAGACTTTGTGTCCTGGGGAAGTAATATACAGCAGTGGTGGAGATGACCTGGCGATCTGGCAGCGAAAGATTCTTCTCTAGATATGAGTCCCTTGGAAACAGCACAGCTGGCTCTGGACATGAGTTACAGAATCATAGTATATAGCTATGATCACTCCTGCCCCGTGGTCAATGGTTACTTCTCTGCCAACAGCACCAGTCTTATCTGAACGAAAGATTGTTATGATCTAAAGCTGACCCCTCTTTCATTTACTAATGTTGCTAAGACTTCCTGTCAAAGGACCCTACCATTTCTGGCCAGTAAGCAGACCATGAATGTAAGTGAGGTCAGCCAGATATTCTTTCCTAGGAATTCAAACCTTGAGCAAAGAATACAACAACAGAAAGTGTATGAGATCCATTCATCCTAGCACCTTGAGGCTTTTGTCCACAGACTCCTACTTCCAATGTTTCACCTGCCTGGCATTCTGGGGCTGCCAGCTTTTTCTTGCCTTCTGTTTCCTTGTGTCTTCTAAAAGTGACTCAAAGTTGATGTTTGCTACATCAACCCATGCCTGGTGTCCTATCCAGGTCACGTAGGTCCCCAAACAGTGGATCAAGCTATTCGTGTGTGTGTGTGTGTGTGTGTGTGTGTGTGTGTGTGTGTGTGTGTGTGTGTGTGAGAGAGAGAGAGAGAGAGATAGAGAGACAGAGACAGAGACAGAGAGAAAGAGAGAAAGAGAGACAGAGTGTGTGTGTGTGTTGGGGAAAGACAAATCTTGGCATTTTATACTATAGCTGAATAGTAGAGAGCAGATGAATAGTCCAGGCAGGACATTAGAGGATAAGAGGTCTGGAATCAGCCAAATTCATGGCTGAAGTAGCCTATCAAATGCACATTGCATAGTCTAATCATGAAAGGTGACCTGGACAGAGTATAAGCCATGTGAAGCCATACACTGAATACCCTCCATCTTCAGGAAGAGCCGGTTTAAATATGGTAGCTGGGAAGATAGGGTTGGTTGGATATTTTTTTATTTAAAATTAAATATGTATATGTTTTGGCATAGAAGATAAGAATCTGCAGGATTTTTATGAGTACACAGTATGCTCTAAGAAATTTCCAGCTAGCAGAGAGCCAATTCTGTACCCATATCTAGATTTCTTGGCAGCACACATTTTTCTTTGCAACTATAAAGGATTCATTGGTGAGAATGTAGAGAAACATGGACCCTGATGTTGGGAGATTTGTTGAAAAGATTGTGGTGGCTTAATTTGTTTTTATTTCCCCACAATTCAGATGTTGATATGCTAACCCTCAATAAGATAGCGTTGGAAGGGGACCTTTGGAGATTATTATGTCAGGTTAGTGGAATCCTCATGAGTGAATTACTGCCTTTCTATAAAGGACCCCCATAGGACTGGGAATGTGGCTTAGTGGTAAAGTGTTTGAAGCCCTGGGTTCAGTTCCTCAGTACCACATAAACAAAAAAAAGCCAGAAGTAGCGCTGTGACTCAAGTGGTAGAGTGCTTGTCTTGAGCAAAAGAAACTTAGGGACAGTGCCCAGGCCCTGAGTTCAAGCCCCAGGACTGGCAATCAATAAACAAACAAACAAGTAAACAAATAAATAAATGGACCCCACAGAGGAACTCTAGCTTTCTTTCAGCCATGTGAGGATACAAGCCTCCAGAACTATGAGAAACACATCCCTGTTGTTAATAAGTCACCAGTTTACTACACTGGGTTCTGGAACACAGAACTAAGAGATGCTGGAGCTCAGTGAATTTGGCAAAGTACACAAGGCCCCACAACTCATGAGACCACTAATCTTAAATATTTTTCCATCTCCCTTTTGAGATTGCACTTGTGACCCAAATAGGGAACATATGAAATCCATATGCCAAATGGGTCTCCTCTCCTCTCTGTCTTTCCAATAGGGCCCTGACCACCTGGTCCTGGGGTATGAATGAGAGGAGGAAGGGTCTGAAGATATTTTCATTGATGTTGATCTGAAGTGGTTAAAAACCTGGGATTGGAAGTTCCTCCTACTTGCTGTGCAGAGAAGAGAGACAGGGGTGTGGCAGGAAGGAATCCACTCCTACCAGGAGGCCAGACACTCTGGGGAACTACAACTGAGTCATACACTAACTGTGCTTCCAGTGTCTTTTTTTTTTTTTAACTGCTCTTGGGGCTTGAACTCAGGGCCTGGGTGATGTCCCTGAGCCTCTTGGCACTCAAGGTTAGCACTCTTGTCACTTGATCCAGAGTGCCACTTCTGGCTTTTTCTGAGTAGTTTATTGGTGATAAGAGTCTCACAGGCCTTTCCTGCTCCAGCTGGCTTTGAACCATGATCCTCAGATCTCAGCCTCTTGAGTAGCTAGGCTTACAGGTATGAACCATCAGCACCCAGCTTCTGGTGTCTTTCAGGTATAAGAAGTGGGGCTGGGAATGTGGCTTAGTGGCAGAGTGCTTGCCTAGCATGCATTAAGCCCTGGGTTTGATTCTTCAGTACCATATAGACAGAAAAAGCCAGAAGTGGTGCTATGGCTCAAGGAGCAGAGTGCTAGCCTTGAGCACAAAGAGGCTTAGGGACATGCCCAGGCTCTGAGCTCAAGTCCTGGGACTGGCCAAAAAATAAATAAATAAATACAAGAATTGTTGCTTCTGGGCTGGGAAGGTGGCTCAGTGGTAGAGTGCTTGCCTTGCATGCCTGAGGCCCTGGTTTCAATTCCTCAGCACCACATACCCAGAAAAAAAAGCTGGAAGTGGTGCTGTGGCTCAAGTGGTAGAGCGCTAGCCTTGAGCTGAAGAGCTGAAGGACAGTGTCCAGGCCCAGAGTTCAAGCCCCACGACCAGACCCAAAAAAAAAAAAAAAAGAATTGTTGCTTCTGGGCTGGAAAGATGGCTCAGTGGTAGAGTGCTTGCCTTGCATGCATGAGGCCATGGGTTCAACTCCTCAGTAACACATAAAGCAGAAAAAGCCAGAAGTCACGCTGTGACTCAAGTGGTAGAATGTCAGCCTTGAGCTGAAGAACTGAGGGACAGTGCTCAGGCCCAGAGGTTAGGCCCCACAATTCTCTCTCTCTCTCCCTCTCTCTCTCTCTCTCTCTCACACACACACACACACACACACACACACACACACACTTGATGTTTCTATGCTTCCCAAACATTTGACTAAATGTTTCTGGGGGCAGAGGAGCTGTGGATGGGCCAGACAGTTTGAACCTGGCCAAAGTCCTGTCTGACCATTTTATTTGCAGAACTTCCTTCTGATGCTCCAGTGACTACGCTTCAGGCCCTCCTGCCTCTCCCCTGGAATCCTGGTAGAGGAGCTCAGCATGGGGCCAGGCCAGCGGATGCCCTTCCTTGACAGGCTTGGAGTTTTAGGATGGTGACTGTTCCTGGCGGAGTCTCTTCTGTGGCAAGAGGATCGTTGCCTGCCTTCAGGCTCCTTGGGATATCCGTGCAGCAGGCACTAACATGGCCATGAACCAGCCAGGGTGGCAGACATACTGTTTTGCTCTCGGACCCTGCAGATTCTGAACTGGAACCCGGGACCCAGGTTGGATGAGACAGAGAGGTGTCTCTGGGGGTGCAAAGCCAGAGATCCTGTTACCTCCACAGAGAAGAGCTACGTCTGGTACTTTACTGCCATTTTGTTATGCTGGGTTGGTTTAACCTTCTTTCCATCACATGTTTTCTTTTAAGGGGAGAAATTCCATTATTGACTATAACATCCAGCCTTGTAGACAATTTGAACCTGGGCAGATCATGCGTTTCTGTTTCTAGAGGACCTTGGAACAATGTGAAATGGCTGCTCAGGCTGGAAGGGAGGGTCTACGTCATCCTAGAGTGACAGCGTGTACGTGTGTGCCTGCAAAAGGCAGCAGCTATGTCTACGATTCTCGCCTCTGTACACTCATCCCCAGAGCAAGGCCTGGTTCCTGGTTGGTGCTCAGAACGCATGCGATGAGGCAGGAGTGGGTGAGGGGATGAGGTTCCATCCTGCCTCAGCACTCGGCCTTGCCCTAATCTTCTTTGCTTCTCAAATTGTTGCCTGATGGCCACACTGGCTCCCAGGCCGCATCTATCTAACCAAGCTCTCCTGCTGCAGCCTCACCGACTGGGGTGACATCTTGGCATTCCTATGGCCTGACATGGATGCCTGGGCAGTACTGAAGTTTGAACTCAGCGTTGCATGCTTGCTAGGTAGGCGCTTTACTACTTGAGTCATGCCTCCAGTCCCTTTTCTGCTTTATTTTGTTGAGGGGGGCGATAAGAGTATTTCCTATTTTCCCCCAGGGCTGACCTCTGACTTCCATCCTCCTATCTACTCCTGCTCCACAGCTGGGATTGCAGCCACGTCCCACCGCACCTGGCTTGTTGGTTGAGATGTTTTGGCCAGGTGGTCTTAAAATTCAGTCTTCTCAATCTCTGCCTCCTGAGTAGCTGAGATTACAGGCATGAGCCATCATGCCTGGATCCTTGTTTGGCCCCAAGAGAAGGACTTGGGGCCCGCTACTTTATTCAAGAGATGACCCCAGGAAAGCCAAATGGGAGGAAGGAAAATGATATAGGAAAGGGGAAAAGTCAGATTAAAAAGGTATTAATGGCTGGGTGCTGGTGGCTCATACCTGTAATCTTAGCTACTCAGGAGGCTGTGATCTGAAGATCATGGTTCAAAGGGTAAGAAAGGCTAGGAGATGCTTATCTCCAATTAATCACAGAAAAAGCCAGAAGTGGGGCTGTGGCTCCTGTGGTAGAGCACTAGCTTGAGCAAAAGGAACTCAGGGACAGCTCCCAGGCCCAGAGTTCAAGCCCCAGGATGGAAAGAAAGAAAGCAAGAAAGAAAGAAAGGAAGGAAGGAAGGAAGGAAGGAAGGAAAGAAGGGAGGGAGGGAAAGAGGGAGGGAGGGAGGGAGGGAGGAAGGGAGGGAAGGAGGGAGGGAGGGAGGGAAGGAGGGAGGGAGGGAGGGAAGAGGAAAGAAAGAAAAGAAAGAAAGAAAGAAAAGAAGGAAGGAAGGAAGAGGGGGGGGAGAGAACGAAGGGAAGGAGGGAGGGAGGGAGAAAAATAAGTATTAATGAGCAGGCTGTTCTCCCTGGGAAACTAGGCCTCCACACCCCTCCAAGGGACAATATGGAGCATGCCAAGTGGACTATCTTGAGGGGCCAGGAAGGTTTGTTCAGCCAACAACAGCTGCACTTCCCTGGCTAAGCTGTGCATCTGAGATTATGAATTTTCTTACACTTTCGTTCTTCTGAGGCTAGAGAAAGCCCCGGAGCAGAAAGGAAAAGGTGATTGGGAAAGGTGAAAACCCACCAAAGCACAGTCTGCCAGGGCTACGGGTGACTTCTAGAGTGGCAGGGTAGGGCACGGCTTAGGGCTGTCCACAGAGTTACCTTGGCTCTCAGCTTACCTCCTGGGGTCTACTACCTGCCCAGGATGCCTGTGGTATAGACCCAGAAGACAGCAAAACGTCTCAGTAGGCACAGCCCGAATCTGTAACCCTGACCTCATCCCAGGTAGCTGGCTACTCTCCATGAACAGCATCAGGACTTCCCACTGGGCCTAGGACCTACCTGCTAGTCTGCAGAGTTGTGGGTGGGAAAACAAGTGGATGCTGAGAATTTTTGAAGAGCAAGATCAAGTGGGAACTGGAAGTTTCCATGTCTAATCAGATTGGTCATTCTCATGGGATCTTCAACAGATCATCTAAAATCCATAACAAGTCCTACTGCTCACAGTGCCCTTGTTGGTGGTGGTGGTGGTGGTGGTGGTGGTGGTCATGGGCCTTGAGTTCCAGGCCTGGGTGCTGTCCCTGAGCATTTTTTGCTCAAGGCTAGTGCGCTACCACTTTGAGTCATAGCACCACTTGGGGTTTTCTGGTGATTAATTGGAGATGAGTTTCACATTCTTGCCCCGGCTGGCTTTGAACCATCATTTCTTCAGATCTCAGAGTAGCTAGAATGACAGGCGTGAATCACTGACACCAGGCTCACAATGCACTTTACAAGGCCAATTTGCACACCTAGAGTCCCAGAGCTTCCCACAGGCTACTAAAAGCAGGAAATGTTTACCCACCCTATTTTTGAGAGTGACTTTTTCTGGTCACCAGAAGTGCCAACACAAAAGCTTTAACCTGCTTTTCTTTATTTTATACCAACCTTTCTCCAGGCCAGTTTTCTAGGAGTTGAGTGACATGGTGATACTTAATGCCTTCTAAAATACTTTTTTTTTTGGGGGGGGGGCCGGTCGTGGGGCCTGAACTCTGGGCCTGGGCGCTGTCCCTCAGCTCTTCAGCTCAAGGCTAGCGCTCTACCACTTGAGCCACAGTGCCACTTCCGGTTTTTTTCTTTTTGCTTTTGTGGTGCTGTGGAATCGAACCCAGGGCCTCATGCATGCAAGGCAAGTGTTCTACCACTGAGCCACCTTCCTAGCCCTCTAAAATACTTTTTTGAAGCTCAATGGGAAAGTTAATTTCATCTGTATTCTGGCATCTAATCCATGTTAGGCATGATGTGTGTGGCAGGGGGAGGGGGGGAGAGGTCAACCATGACCTTTGTTTGCCCTTGACATGGTCATAGTAGGTTGACACCAAACACTGCACCAAGTTGCATATTTATTCCTTTAATTTGGCGATGTTTTTTTTTCAGTCTTCCCATAGTGCCTATGGGCAGAGGTAGGAACACAGAAGTAGGAGTTGGGAATCTCAGGTCAAGCCTTAGCAAGTCTCTTTGTGGTAAGGGTCAGGTGCACACGTGGGAAGGATATCTTAGTGCTGTCCTCAGGGTCAGCCTGTCTCCCAACTCCTTCTCCAGGGTATCTCCCCGTCATAAGCCAGCCTGACTTTAACAAAACACAGCATGTCACCACCCCAGGCAACCTCCTTGTTTGATCTTCCCCCTGGAGACGCAGGCCAGGACCAAGAGAAGGGGAAGGAGCAAACTGCAGGGAGTGTGTAGCCTTTGAACACACTCTTTCAATGAGGAACTGAAAACAAGATGTCCATTCCCAAGGCCTCCTCCTGAGTCACACTTCCTTGTGTGGAATAAGCTCGGTTTCAGAATCCTTATCCTTGGAGCCAAGAGGCTACCTCGAAGCTGGGTGCCATGCCAGGGCCTCATGCCTGTCATCCTAGCTACTCAGGAGGCTGAGATCTGCAGCTCAAAGCCAGCCTGAAGCAGGAAAGTCTGTGAGACTATCTCCAAGTAACCACCCAAAAGGCCAGAAGGTATGACTCAAATGGTAGAGCACCATGTGCCTTGAACAAAAAATAAATAGAGGGAGGGAAAGTGGGAGAGAAAGAGGGAGGGGTTGACAATGTTCAACAAGAAATATACTTATCACCTTACTTATGTAAAGGTAACCCCTCGGTAGATCACCCTTACAATAAAAATTTTTTAGAAAGATACAGGCTGGGAATATGGCTTAGTGGTAGAGTGCTTGTGTAGCACGCATGAAGCCCTGGGTGAGATTCCTCAGTGCCACATACACAGAAAAAGCCAGAAGTGGCGCCGTGGCTCAAGTGGTAGAGTGCTAGCCTTGAGCAAAAAGAAGCTCAGAGACAGTGCCCAGGCCCTGAGTTCAGGCCCCAGGACTGGTAAAAATAAAATAAAATAAAAAGATACAATATAGGGCTGGGAAGGTGGCTCAGTGGTAGAGCGCTTGCCTTGCATGCATGAGGCCCTGAGTTCGATTCCTCAGCACCACATAAGCAGGGGGGGAATAAAAGCCGGAAGGGGCACTGTGGCTCACAAGTGGTAGAGTGCTAGCCTTGAGCTGAAGAGCTGAGGGACAGTGCCCAGGCCAGAGTTCAGGCCCCACGACTAGACACCCCCCCCAAAAAAAAAGATACAATATAGGGCTGGAAAGGTGGCTCAGTGGTAGAGCTCTTGCCTTGCATGCCTGAGGTCCTGGGTTCGATTCCTCAGCACCATATAAGCAAAAAGAAAAAAGCCAGAGGTGGCGCTGTGGCTCAAGTGGTAGAGCGCTAGCCTTGAGCTGAAGAGCTGAGGGACAGCGCCCAGGCCCAGAGTTCAGGCCCACGACTGGACCAAAAAAAAAAGATACAATATAAAAATAAATAAAAATAAATAAAACTAGGGACAGTGTCCAAGCACTGAACTTCATACACATACACACACATACACACGTATGCATGCACGCACGCACACACAGGCCATCTTTAAGTTAATAGTCCAGCCTCCTTGGTTTTACAGCCTCCTTGGTTTTATGCAATGCTTATACTGGGTAACTTTACACAGCAGAGAAAGATTTGCTTCAGGGAGCAGTGATTTTCTTTTCTTTCTTTCTCTTTCTTTTTTTCCTTTCTTTCTTTCTTTCTTTCTTTCTTTCTTTCTTTCTTTCTTTCTTTCTTTCTTTCTTTCTTTCTTTCTTTCTTTCTTTCTTTCTTTCTTTCTTTCTTTCTTTCTTTCTTTTTTTCCTTCTTTTTTGCCAGTCCTGGGGCTTGAACTCAGGGCCTGGGTACTGTCTCTAAGCCTCTTTGTGCTCAAGGTTAGCACTCTACCACTTGAGCCACAGTACCACTTCTGGCTTTTTCTGAATAGTTTATTGAAGATAAGAGTCTCATGGACTTGCCTGCCTGGGCTGGCTTCACACTGGGATCCTCAGATCTCAGCCTCTTGAGTAGCTAGGATTACAGTCCTGAGCTACTGGTGCCCAGCTTGAAGCAGTGATTTTTGAAACCTGAAGGCCTCCCATTTCAGAGTTCTCCTCAGTGTCATCTTCGCTGCCTTGTTCAGGATCTGGCCTTCTATTGCACATCAGAGGTGTGCTTGAACAAAGACTCGCTTAATCTGGGGTGTAGATGACAGGTAGTAGGGTCTTTGATACCAAGAGGTTTAGGTATCAGGGCAGAGTAGAGTAAATCAAAAGGACACTGGAGTCTGCCAGGGCAAGGGGTGACTGGGGGCTTGGTTTAGAGAGCGGAAAGGGCGCGGAGCTCTGCATCTAATCTTGTTGTCTCCCAGAGAAAATGTGTTTTGGATTTATTTTCAAGCCGCCTCTGAAGAGATCAGCAGGTCATTCATTTCAGCTGCCTGCGTCTGGTGAGTGGCTCAGAGTTCTGCACAGTTCCACCTCCTTCCTCGAGCCCTGTGAAACACAAGCTACATTTTTGTTTTGTTTTGTTTTAATAATTTAAGCTCCCTATTTTATGTATCGAATCTCTTCCTATTTTCAGTAGGAAACTGATTTCATGAGTTATTGTACATTCTTTGAGTATATTGTAATTGTTATTTATAATTTAAATTTATTTTGTCTTTTTCTTTCTTTCTTTTTTTGAAAGGATTTCTTTTATTTCTTTTTTTTCTTTCTTTCTTTTTTTTTGGCCAGTCCTGGAGCTTGAACTCAGGGCCTAGGCACTGTCCCTGAGCTTCTTTTGCTCAAGGCTAGCACTCTACTACTAGAACTACAGCACCACTACCAGCTTTTTCTGTTTATGTGGTACTGAGGAATCGCACCCAGGGCTTTATACATGCTAGGCAAGCACTTTACCTCTAAGCTGCATTCCCAGCCCTTTTTTCTTTCTTTAGTGTTTTCAAATACTTAAGAAATAAACACTTCTGGCAAAGAATTCATGAAATTGCAAAGTATATAAAACAAAAAGTAAGCATCACTTTACTGGGTAGTTGTGGCTAGCATTTTGGTATGTGTCTTTTTGTATTTTTTTTTTAAATACCAGTCCTGGAGCTTGAACTCAGGACTGGAGCATTGTGCCTGTGCCTTTTTTGATCAAAGATAAAATTCCACCACTTGAGTCAAAGTTCCACTTTGGCTTCTTTGTTTAATCGGAGATAAAAGTCTCACAGACTTTCCTGATCTGACTGAATTCAAACCACAATCCTCAGCTCTCAGCCTCCTGAGTAGCGAGGATTTCAGGCATGAATCAACAGCTGCTGGCTTATCCGTGTGTGTGTGTGTGTGTGTGTGTGTGTGTGTGTGTGTGTGTGTGTGTCTGTCTGTCTGTGTGTCTGTGTGTGTGTGTGTCTGTCTGTCTGTGTGTCTGTGTGTCTGTGTGTCTGTCTGTGTGTCTGTGTGTGCATGAATGCCAGGCCTTTGCCTCCTTCAGACCCTCTGCCCTAAGCACCTGTTTGCACTACAAGCCAAATTCACTGTTGGTTTTTCTTCTTTTTCCTTTTTTTTTCCCCTAGGGCACCATTTTTACTTGAAAAACAAAAACAAACAAACAAACAAAAAACTACTGATGAACAAACTATGGCTGTCTAGATTTGAGCAGTCTTCAGATGCTTTCTCAAAAGTCAATAAAATGAACCTTTGAGAATAACAAAAATGAATAAATGTCTATTACTAATAACCCAGCCCAAGCTTGCAAGCAAAAAAATAAAATAGAATTTCAAAGCTTTAATTAACTGGACAGCTTTCCAACACTTGGAGACTTCAGTAATGACATTGGTGGTGAGATTAGCAAATGTGCTTTTTTAAAACACTGCTCATAAAACATGTTAATATTAGATCTGTACACTCAGGGAACTAGAGTTGTTTTTTTAAGACCAATGCATAATGTTACAAAAGCAAGTGTGTATGAAAGATTCATTCAAAGCAGAAAATAAACCATTGGATTTTAATGTAACAGCGTATGAACCCATCACCAATTAAGTTAGAATTGACATTGCAATGGACTTTCAGAGACTACCACTTGTCAAATTATGGTAAATAATCAAAGAAGAGTGTCCACAGTCATCTGAGCAGACTACAAATAATCGTCCCTTTTCCAACTATGTATCTATGGGAGCCAGATTTTCCTCATATACTTCAACCAAAACAACATATCGAAACAGATTGAAGGCAGAAGCAGATAGTAAAATCCAGCTGTCTTCTGTGGAGCCAGATATTGAAATACATTTGCAGAAATGTGAAACAATGCCAGTCTTACCACTAAATTATGTTAATGTTCATAAAAAATGGCTGTGACTTATACTAACATGTAAAGAATTTGCTGCTGTTACAGAAATTTATAAATCTGTTTTGTTTTTTGTTTTTGGTTGGTTATG